CACCTGGCTGACTGTTCCTCTGTCTGGCTTCCTGGCTTTTACTCCCCTTTCTCCTGCTCTTCCGGCCTGCTACTCTGGCGTCCCTGCATTGTCTCTCCTCACCTGTAAGCCTGGGGCTCAAGGCTTTTATCCCCTTCCCTGCTCTTCCGGCCTGCTACTCTGGAGTCCCTGCGTTGTCTACACCACCAGGCAGCAAATGCATTATGAAAGGAAGGCACAAAGTGCTGTGGAGGCCAGCAGTGCGGGAGCTCATTCACTGTGTTAGCAGGCCCCTGAAGGCCTGCCTTGCTTCACACAGGTATGCTCTGTACTTAGGGTATCCTAAGGGAAGGGCTATTCTCGACTTTTTAAGTCTCCCGTACAGTCCCCAGGTCATGCATCACAGGGCCCGTGGTAGGTGCTCTATGGCTGCCTATCTAATCAATGAGCAGGAGCGACGCTGCTGCTTTCAGCACTGTCACCAGCGCTCAGGATGACGTATGGCCTCATCGCCAGGAACAGGCTCTCTTTCCCTTTTCTATGAAGCATGTGGCCAGAGACATTAGTAGAAAATAATGTGTTTCAGACATAATCTGTTAAGTAACCTCATCTCTATTTTGTGCTGGTTTGGGAAGCAGATGTTCTGGGAGCTGGCTGCGGTGCCAGGTTCTAGTCTTCAATGCCCGGCAGGTTCATCGTGGATTCAAGCCCCACCCACCCCTTCACATGATACCTGAAGAATGTGCTTGTTATCTTTAGTATGCAACACAGCCGAAACGGTTGCTAAGGAAATGCCAGGCTTAATCTCCATGGGCACCAGGGAATCTGCAAGCTAAAAGCAAAGAGAAGGTCTCAGTGAAGCTTATGCTGAATTGGAGGGAAAAAGGGTGCGCAGCACTGCTACCCATGGTCAGGAGCTGTGAGGCCACAATGGACCTCAGCTCTGCCTTCATTGTGGAGTGCAGGGTGCATGGGGATATAAAGGGTCAGGACACCACGCTCAGCAAGCCTGAACCCCCACAGGCTCTGCCCAGCCTGGTGGGAAAGGTACCTGTGGCCGAGTCTTTGGCACACAACAGTATCTGTTAAAATGATCTGTTATGATTCTTTAATCCTAAAGCTGAGCCTTTACAGATTACCATGAGTGATTTTAGTTTCTTTTGAATATTTATTTATCTCTGGTAGCATAGTGGCTAAGACACTTGCCTGCTAACCAGACGGCTGGCGGTTCAAACCCACCAGCCACTCCTCGGAAGGAAGGTTGGGCAATCCTACTTCCGTAGTGATAACTGCCTCGGAAACCCAAGGAGGGGTCGCTATGAGTCGGGGCCGACTCGATGGCACATAACAACAACAACAACATTACTGCTATCTAAAATTGACCAAGTAACTTTAGGGAACAAAGATAAATATATATATATATATATCAATTATACACACACACCATATGTATATATCACAATAGGAGGTAACAGAAGACAGAGTGGATAACAGGGTGGTGATGGCTAAACTGAGAATAGGAAGAGTGGTTGATCCCAATTTTCCTAGTGGAGCTCTAAGGCTATATAAAGCAGGGGTCATCCAAGAGCAGCCAAATCCTGCTGCAAGCTGGGACTCCAATTTGTTGGTGCACTCTGCTTCTTCTTTTTGCTAGTCAATCCACAAATAATGCCAGCACCCTGTCAGAGCACTATTTTATCTAGACTCCTGCAACAGCCTCAAAATGGCCCACTTGCCTCTTGTCTCTGTTCCCTCACATACTGCTTTCATGTGGCTTCCAGACAACTCTTAACTCTTCGATAGTATCTCTTAAACCTCTAAGGCTCCCCGTTACTCAAAATACGTATCAAATACAGACTTTGCATCCTGGTCTTTATGTTCCTTGTAATCTGGCTGCCTTTTCATCCTTATCACCTCTGCAGGTGGCGAGTGTCAGGTGAGAAGGATGGAGTAAGTTCTCTAATTCTTGGGAATCCGACTTCTCCCACAGATGGAGCAGAGAGCTTTTTCCTGTGAGGCCATTTTCTTTCCCTAATACCTGTGTTTGAGGAGCACCCTTTTCTATCCAACTTCAGCCTCTCTCCACCTCAGATACTGGTAGTAGCACATGATCTTATAAGGAGCCCAAACACTCTGGTTTAGCTGCATTTTGTTTGTACAGACACAGAAAGGTCTCTGGTTGGTGCAGATGGTCTGCACTTGGCTAGTAACCCAAAGGTTGCCTGTTCGAACCCACCCAGCAGCACTGGGAAACATCCAGACCTGGTGAGCGGTCTCTGTAAAGGTAACTGCCAACTTGGCTCCGGAGCCTACAGAGTCTCTCCAAATGAATAAATACACAAACAATATGCCTGAACATACAGACATACCAATGCTCTACTCATCCAAACCTTCCTTACTGAAAACCAAAATTAAATAAATATGCAAAATTCCATTTATGTAAACATGAAGATTAGTATCAAGTGGGCAGAGGACGCATCTTAGGATATTTAATGGGACTGGCAGATAATATATGAGGACTGCTTCACAAAGAAAATGTACACTGTACACAGTATGAAGTGTTCATTATGGAGGAGACAGGTATGCAGCAAGCTCTTGGCAAGGCCAGTTCCTGTTCTGTCTCCATCCACGAGTCCTCTTTTCTTTCCCACATGGCAATTATTCTTGTCACAGGTAAAGGCAGAACTTTAAAGCCAAAGAACTGGCTTGGAAGGTTTGGGGATGGCATCAGGGGAACCAAGCAGGCAAGGTCCTCTCCCTGGGCAACCCTGTGAGCTGACCCTACATCCAAGAAGATTGTTGGTGCAGCTTGGCCAGAACAGAGGTCTGCCCAGAGCCTCCAACAACTACCTGCCATCCCACAAACAGAATTTGCTGTCAGAACAGGCCTCTGAGGGCTGACATATCACATCTCCCAGTTTCTACTGATGAGGATAAAAAAAAAAAAAAAAAAGTAGGGACGGATTTTCAAGGAAGCTGCAGAGGATGTATGATGCACTTTCCATCTGAGGACAAAACAAACATCCTGCAGCAGCAGCAAAAGACAAAAAGTAGGAATAAGATTTTTTTTATATAAAATTGAGATGAAATTGATATAACATAAAATCAGCCATTTACAAGCAAACAATTCAGTGGCATTTAATACATTCACAATGTGCACCTACCATCTCCCATCTAGTTCCAAAACATTTTCATTGACCCAAAGGAAAACCCTGTACCCATTAAGCAGTCACTCCCTGTTCTTCCCTCCCCCCATGCTTTAGCAACCACCAATCTGCTTTGTGTCTCTGCAGATGTATTACCTATTCTGGACATCTCATAGAAATAGAATCCCACAATATGTGACCTTTTGTATCTGGCTTCTTTTATTCAGCATAATGTTTAAGGTTCATTTATGTTGTAGAGTGTATTGGAACTTCATTCCCTTAAAAAACTCTTTAGAATTGTAGTATAAATATATATAAAATATTTGCCATTTCAACATGTACAATTCAGTGACATTAATTGTATTCATCATGTTGCTTCATTCTTTTTAGTGGTTGAATAATACTCCATTGTATGTATATATCCCATTCTGTTTTCTCATATTTATCTATTGAAGGAGCTCTGGTGGCATAGTGCCTAAGGCATCTGGCTACCAACCAGAAGGTTGGCAGTTCAAACCCATTAGCCACTCCGCAGAAGGAAGACAGGGCAATCTACTTCTGTAAAGATTTACCACCTTGGAAACCCAAAGGGGGTCACTATGAGTTGGAATCAGCTCAATAGCAGTGAATTTGGTGTTTTTGGTTTTATCTATTGAGGGGAGCTCTGGTAGCATAGTGCCTAAGGCACTTGAGTGCTAACCAGAAGGCCAATAGTTCAAACCCACCAGCCACTTCTCAGAAAGAAGGTTGGGCAATCTACTTCCATAGTGATATTGCCTCGGAAACCCACGGAGGGGTTGCTGTGAGTTGGAGCCAACTTGATGGCACATAACAACAACAATAATTGAGGGACATGGGTTGTTTCCACATTTTGGCTATTGTGAATAATGCTGTGAACACTGGTATACATGTATGTGTTTGCATTCCTGCTTTCAATTCTCTTGGGTAGGAGTAGAATACTAGGAGTATAATTGCTGGGTCATTTTATAATTCTATGTTTAACTTTTCCACAGTAGTTCAATCATTTTATATTCCCACGAGCAATGTACATGGGTTCCAGTAATGCTTGTTAATTTCCATTTTTTTAAAAAATTATTGCTAAGCAGTAAGATTTTAACCCATTCATTTCACACATGCATTTTCCAGGAAAAAGCAAATGAGACTGTCAGTTTTACTTACATTGTAGTTTAAGAATGATAGAAATCTCTATGGTTGTATAAAGTGTAATCAGCAGGAAACTATCAGCCAAAATAATCCAGAAATCTGAGGGCCACCTGTTGAGCTTAGACTTAGCCTTGCAGTTGTAGGCGATTGTGGAGGAAAAAGGGAAGGTGATGACATAGGCAGCTATTATTATTAATAGATAAAAATCAGTGTAAAAACTTTTCCACTGATCGACCATATGCTATCTCCTGGGCCTGATTATATTTCCTGAGGAAAAGCCCATTCATTTAAATCCAGAAAAATATTCAAATGTGTTTGAAAAGCAGACCAGTAAAAGTTTATGGAGCGGCCATGACCTGAGTGTTTAAGGACACTTGGGCAGCAGCCCCCAAACCAAAGTGCTGGATACTGAGGACATGGATGTGGGTTCAGGCTTGGTGGGCTCTAATGTCTACACTCTCTTTTCACAGCAAGCCCCTCAGGAGAACTCCTGCTTTGCTGTGCCTCCCTGAATGCCACGGAGTGTAATCTTAGGGTAAGAAGGGACAGAGTTATTACTGTCCCACTTAATGTTCTTGACTTATGAGAACAGGTCATGTTCTTTCTGACCCTATTGGTTATGCTTTCCATGGATCCATATAAAAACTAAAACCATAAAACTCTTAGAACAAAACATAGGAGTAATGTTTCAGGGACATAGTTTTCAACAATGGATTCTTAGATACGACACCAAATGCATGGGCAACGACAGACAAAATAAATTGGACTTAATCAAAATGAAAACCTTTTGTGCATCAAAGGGTTTTATCAACAAAATGCAGAGACAACCTGTGAAATGGGAAAATATTTGGGAACCAAATATCAAATAATGGTTCAATATCCAGAATATATAAAGAAGTTTTACAACTTAACAACAAAAAGACAAACAACCCAACCAAAAACTGGGCAAAGGACTCAGACATTTCACCAAAGATGATTTACAAAAGGCCAATGATTATATGAAAAAATCTTCAACAACACTAGTCATTGAAACCAAAAAATAACACTCACTGCTATCGAGTTGATTCTGACTCAAAGAGAATTCCTTTGGGTTTCTGAGGTGGTAAATCTTTATGCAAGTAGATTGCTCAGTCTTCCTCCTGTGGAGTGGCTGGCAGGTTTGAACCGTCAACCTTCTGGTTAGCAGTCTAATGCCTTAGGTGCTGCACCACCAGAGCTCCTTACATTAATCGCTAGGGAAGTGCAAGTCAAAACCAGTTCCCCCCACTAGGAAAGTTACTATCAGAAAAATAGAAAACAACAAGTATGGGCAAGGATGTGGAGAAATTGAAACCCTCATCCATTGCTGGTAAAATTGTAAAATGGTACAGTTGCTGTGGAAAACACTTTGGTGGCACCTCAAACAGTTAAATATACAGTATTTGTCTTTCTGCAATTGACTTATTTCACTCAGCATAATGTCCTCCAGGTTCATCCACATTGTGAGATGATTTGCATATCCCTCATTGTTCTTTAATGTAGC